AGGATGACAAAAAAATAATGTCTGTCATTTGGTTTTAAAGTTGGAATGAATTTCAGGAGAGTACTAAAAAAGCCCCACCAAAACAAAAAGCCAAAATAATGCACAACAATGTTCATTTGTGGCAAAAAAGACAATAAGAATGGTCTTAGAGCATGTTTTATGTACCTTTTATCTGTCATATATGCATTTATCTCATTTCAACATTAGCATAATTTAGTTAATGCTGAGCCCTGTTTCTCCCAGAAAATCAACAGAAAAATAGTTTGGTAGCTGAGAGTTTCTCAGGGATCCAGATGCTTTTTAATCTTTCTTTAGATTCTTTAGAATGACAGAAAAGTCATTCTTAAGCTGACTAGTGGTTTAAAAACTGAAAAGAAGCAAGCTCCATAGGGCATGGCTTGTGCTACCAGGCTCTGCTCTACTGTATGGTTTTGTTGTTAATTGTTTGCGTTCTGTTACATCTGTGAGCCTTATCACAGGCGAGGGTTTCTCAAATGGATTAATTTTGCCAGCAAGCACTGATGGAGAGGCATAATGCTGAATGAAGATGTGTACTAATTAGCAACTGTACTGATTTTACAGAAGCTGAATTAAAATTCTTTATAGTTTACTGCAATACATCAAACGTGCAGCTTGACATGCAAAATATAAATATTGTATGTGTAGCCTACTTCTGTCAGCATGCCCTGTATTGCACCTGTGAGTGAAGGTTATATTTAACTCTGCTATGTGAAGGGCAATTCTGTACTGAGCCGAGTATGATTGTCCTGTCATATCCTGCAGATGATGTTGGCCATTTAAATGTCTATTTCTCTCTATACTGCTGCTGCTTGGCTATTCTCTCTATAAAGCACTCATTCCTTCACATGTTGTGTTTATGAAACAGTATCCCCTTATATTTCCTTTCACTGTCTGTAAAAATCACAGTGAGATTATATATAGTGAGATCTAGTTGTCACAGCATAACCTAAATGTAGTATATAGCACTGTCAAGTGAAAGTGCAGTCAAAATATGCTGCAAATCTACTTTGTCTAAATAGTATGTTACAGCACTGGAGATGTGAGTTATCTTTAAAGCTCCTTTTAATTATGTTGAGCATTATTGGAATAGAACTGCAACGTCAGCATGTTTGTGATAACCTCTGATAATCAGTTTTATAAATAATTGCTTCTGGTAAAGAAATAACCAGAATATAATCAGAAATTGATGGATGAAATTCTTGTTAATGTCCTATATAAAGGTAGAGTTCAAATGTTCACAGGTCAGTGTTATTTACAAGTTTACAATTAAGACAATCCCTCTTGTCTATGAAATACATTATTAGTATTGTTAAGTGCTGAGTCAAAGCACAGAGTATGACCCTTGTTTGCCATTACCACCAATTCTTCTGTGCTACGGAGTATTTTCAGATGCCACAAAATCAGAGCAGGAATTCCTGAAAAATTAAGTAGGCTGTTTCTACTTTTGCTGATGCTACCTGGTGTAATGCTGATGGTGCCTTTTGTATGAGTGTAATGATGTATTTATGTAAAAATGCACTCCATGACTTGGATGGAAGGTGCTCTTTCTTGAATCTCTGTATCCTAAATGATCTGAGTTTTGGTTTTTTTTCTGAAGTACTTCTGCCTGTAGGTTTTGGGGACACTGGACTAGTCTGAGCTGCTGGCTGACTGACTCCTAAGATACTGTCACCTCTCTCAATGAGCTGGTGGTCAGTGCTCACATAAGGATTGCCAGCAGTGGCTGCTGAAAGGATGAGAGTGCCCAGCTGTTGTAGGTGACTTAGCATGCAGAGCACTTGGTGGTGCAAGGAGGATTTAAACCATACACAGAGGACTTTTTCCAGTTAACAAGTGTCTGTAGTTCTTACCTGGAATATCCAACTTTATTTCTGCTGGTAAAGGTTTCTGAAAATTATGTATGCTGTTCAGCGCATTAAAACAAAAGTAAAAATTGCTGAGATGATGAAAACTGCTTGGTCAGATGATTAATGTGCAATACAACTGAGCAGATTCCCAGATGACAGGAGAGTATGTTGAAGAGATACTTGTTACCAGAGTGCTTGGCAAGATATCAAATTTATGCTGTAAATATGAAATAACTACGATAAATATATCTGAGCCAAAATACAATGCATCATGCATCCAAATTTCAACACAGCACATAACTACAGTGAGGCAATGTGCTCTGTAGAAAGATTATTTATGAAGAATTACATAGTGATACATGTAATGGTAGAGAGGTGGGGATAGACAGGGGGTTTGATTTTTAAGCTATAAGAGAGCTCTGCTGAGATGCAAATTAATGTTTCTTGTCTCAGCTGACAGGTATTGCATGTTGTGCTCCCTTTTCAATTTTGTTATTTTATTGTTCCTTAAAGCTCATCTTCAGCATTGCTGAAGGGAAGAGGGGACATGTCATAGGTTGTTTTTGCTGAAGTTGGTGCTGAAAAAAGACTAGTTGTATAACAGTTTTAGCTGGATTTATGCTCTTATGTAATGTCAAAAGTATTAGGAACACAAATACAATCTCCATGTCTTCCTCACTAGTGGAAATACTGGAGGATGTTTGGTTTATGGCATTTTCAGAGAAAATGCAATATTGTTGGAATGTCAAAATCAGTGTAATTTCAGCCAATTCTCTGAAGATATGTTCTGGTCAATGTAATGTTCAGAAATATGTAGGGAACTCTAATGTTTCTCAGTGAAATTTGGGTCTGTCTGCTGTATGGCGCCTTTTGGACTGTTTTCTAAATAGCTTTACATGGTGTGAAGAACTTGCAGTGAAAAGGTAAGTCATAGAGATATGTTATCAAAAGTTAAATATGCCTATAAATAAAATTAATTCCAAGGTGTTGTTTCAAAAAACAGTTCAGAGGGATATCTGAAAAGTATTTTACTATGTACATTCAACCTGTACATAAATAGGTTGCGCTACAAAGGTCGTTTTAGATTTGGAAGTCAAATCTTGCCCTTCATTTTGTCATCAGCAAAATTCTACTTGTGCTGAATAGTTTAGGAAGCTTTTCTCTTAGCAGACTCTTTAAGACTTATATGCCATAGGCAACAGAATATTTGATTTTCTTCCTTTTCATAGGCAACTCTTACCAAAAAGCCAGGTGCTTATAGTTTGACAGTAGCATCCTTATTTTAGGGTCTCATCCCATTCTAGTTTATATGAAAGTATATCTACTGTCAGCAAGAGAATGACACATCTATTAAACTAGTTAAGCTAAAGGATGAGGCCTCAGTGAAATAAGAGTATTGTGTTCTTGCTATGTCCAAGGACAGACTGGCTAAGAAGAAAGGAGATCCAGTAAAAACTAATATTCACAATTCTCTGTATTGTACTAGAATAAATAAAACAAACAAAACCATTGCTTCTTCCTTCCTATTTATAATTTGTGTTCCTTCTGTCAGTATTGCAATGTTTTAGCCCTTTTCATTCAACACCGTGCATGTGTTTGGTTCAGCTTATCTAACTGGAGACTCCTAGAGATTCTGTACCGTAGTATTCAGTTGCTCCCTGTGGATTGCCTTGTTAGTGAAAACAGAGACAAGCACCTTCATAGAAGATGCCCTTTCACTTGGCAGTCCAAAAACTTGTTAAGTTAGTAGAATGTTGTGGTTTAGGAGCCTAAAATCAAAATTAGCATTAAACATAAAACCTGAAAGAGCAGAGCATTGTGTGGCCTCCGCCATCAAACTGGTGGTTTGTAAACCAGTCCTGAACAGAGGACTTTCAGCAATAGGTCCCGGTGGGCTAAAACAATGTGACATAAAATGTGATATGCCATACTGAAAATGTTAATTTTATCTTCTCTCCCTCCTCCACAAAGTTACTACTTTTACATACATAATAATTAGGAGAAAATACCCTGTTATAAGGACTTAGGCAGTAGGGTAATCTTTTGCCAATGTATTTTGGTACATGCTTGCAATCCTATAGTTTTTGTTCAAAGGAGAATGAGAACCAGTGGAGTTTTGTTTCTGAATTTTTCATCATCATTTCTTCTTGCCTGCCAACACACACTACAGGATAGAAGACTGATTATAGTGTGCTCTCCTTTTGTTACTAGGTCAGTACTTCTAATTCTGAGCTTGTCTGCGTCACTGGGAGTATCAGATCATTTACTCAGAAGGAAGCCTCTGACATGCTCAGAATTAGTTGAGTCAGCAGAACATCATCTGTGCAGAAAAGCTTATTGATTACTCTGAGAGTGCAAGTTAACTGTACTGAAGGGTCTGTATGGGTCAGAGTATGTATTCTAGGTCAGTAAATTAAGATGATTCTGTGTTTGAATCTGCATGCTATAAGTGAAATTAGGGACATCTTTTAAAATAATTCGGTGCTAAGAATATGCATTCACTAGCTTTCTTCATCTTTCTTTCTCTGTCCTTCCCCAAACCTTCTTCCTTTAAAGAAATTTTTAAAAGTGGGGGAAAAAAGGAAAATTGTGGCATATGGAAAGAGACTTGATTATTTTTTTCTATTTTAAATATCATAGAATCATTTTGAAGTGAATCTGTTAAATGTAACTAATATGTATATGCTTGAAAGAGCAGAGTTGTATTTGTCCTGATTTTTTTCTGTGCTTCAGACAGTAGATTTTGCCAGGAGGTCAGTGTCTGCTGGAAGAATATTTACTTGATGTAAAAATGATTTTCTGTAAACAGAAGTTGTATCAAACAGGTATTCAACAAATCACTGCATTCTGCTTTTAACTAGCGTGTGCTGGCCCGTCTGGGGGTTGTTATCAGCAAAGGGGAAGGGGAGGATTGCTAAGTGAGGGATTACTCTGGAGAACCCTGCACTTGGGAAGCTGTGCAGAAATGGGCGTCCTCACCCATGTTTGTTTTTGTGCTACTATGTTACTATGTTGAGTTACTATGTTTCTTAACATTTCAGTGAATTGGAGTTTGATGGAAATTAGTTTCTGCGGTTCTAGTCTCCCTTTTTTAATACTCGTCACTATTTCTGTTCTATTTTTTGTTTCCAGTTACAAGAAAACACACGAGACTCTGAGCCATGCAGGGCAAAAAGCAACAGCAGCTATCAGCAATGTAGGAACAGCTATCAGCAAGAAGTTTGGAGATATGAGGTATTGGCATCTGCTGCTTCTCTGGTCTCACCTAGAGGACTAAATGTATAAATCACTTGTCAGCTCTTCTTTTCCTTCTACATAAATGTTTTAAAGGTTCAAGTAGTTTGTAGTTACCGTATTTAATAACATTCATGTTTTTAACTGGAAAGAAGGCATAATGATGATCAAAGGTAAATTTTTATATGGGTCTTGTTTTTTTAAAAAAAACAGTAGAGTGAAAAATCCTTTTGTGATAACTTTGCAAACTCAAGGAAATGTATAAGTAAAATGGAACAAAAAATTGCTGTTAGATCTTTATTAACCCAATTTTATTCATAGTGCATGCTGGAGAAAAATAGCATCTGAAGAAAAGAAACATACCTAAAAACTGCTTGTGATAAAAAATATTTCAGGCTATTTTTAATCTTTTTTTTTTTCAAGACGTACTGCAAAGTTTTGTTCTGCAGTTGTATAAAAATAGATATGATGGAAGCAACAGGAGCTGAGGTCAGTAGAACTGTCACTTAAAGGCAACTTCAGTGTCAGGCTTTATGTGCTGACATATTTTTTGAGGAGTTGGTCTTAAGGTTCCTCAGTATGAGAGCTGAAATTGTGTACTGTAAACCATTATTTCAGTTTTCATTGGGTAGTAGGAATTTCTTGAGTTTTTGAAGGATTTTTTGTGATAAAATAAATGGACATGGATAACTACAGTATAATGTTTGACCTGGAGAATTAGGGTCTCATTTATTAATAGTGCATATTATCCCATTGGTATATACTCTCTTTTTTGTTATTTTGCAATGTATGATGTAACCATATCCTAAGCTCTGTGTGTGCTATAAATGACTGGAGCTTAGTTCATGGCAGCTAAAACTTTTTTTTCCCCCTTTTTATTTTTATTCTGGATCTTAAATCTTTATTAGCCCCTTAACACCTACCTTTTGCAGCTTAATAAATCCTCTATAGAAGGACTGTTTTTCTAGAAACTGAAAAATTAAAATCTTCGTTACTGTATCATATGCTTTACAGTGTCTTTTTCCACACTGCAGTTTAAAATGGACATTTAGTCAGTGACTTGCAACCAGGGTATGAACATAACTAAGATTATTTGACTTGATACAGTTAAACATTCATGAATAGTATATGCCTATCAAAGGATAGAAGAATAAGCAGGCATGCAATTATATTTTCTTAGTATATTTTTTTAGTGTTCAGAAATCTAAGAGCTGAAAACTTTCTAAAACATAAATTTGAGCCTTCCTTTAAAAGTTTCTTGAGGGTTTTTCTTCATGAATTTATCATTATTTAGAATTTATTTTAGTTTATATGAGCTTTTGAAATTCATAACACCTCAGGTCTCCCCAGATGAATAGAAATTTATGTGGTAAAGTCTGTGGTTTATTTGTTCATTCATTCATTCCGTATTTGGAGTCTCCTTGGTCTTTCCTTTGGTGCCTTCTGGCTCTTCCATTATGAGAAACAGTGAGTTTGTTCTTCTTCTGATCTTCATTTCACTCATTATTTCTTGTGAATTACTGTATTTCACTTCAGTTCCCTCTTTCCAGACTCCAGTTGGATGAGTCACTTTCACAAGCCTTTTTGTTACCTTTGTTAATTCTTTGTTAATACCTTTGTTAATTTATTAATTTTAATGCCTTCCTTGCATTTATAGTTGCAGTCTGTATTTTTGAGAAATGTATAAGATGTGTGTAATGCATGTGGCACCAACATATTCCCTGTTTCATTTTATGTTCTTTTTTGACACTTCCTCTTGTAAAAGACAAGCCCACAGCTCAGGAAACAGATTTGTTGCTGTTTCCAAGCTTTAGATTCTACAGCAGTGACCAAAGGCTTTCTATGTGAATACCTTGAGCTGGCTCTGGATTATAGAGGGAAGGATGACTTAGCAATTCAGGATTTCTCAGGTCCTAATACTTGTGCTTTGCACATGGTGTGAGATTAACTGCAAAGGCAGAAATGTCTTCATTGAAATATATCATGTTCATCCTTTAGTATTTCCCTTAATTAATCACTGTTACCAAATGCTTTTGTCTTACCTATCAGTATCAGCCCTCATGCCCATGGCAGTCATGCTTCTGACATGGCAGATGGGAGGTGTTTATCCCATTAGCCCTTTAGACAAGGGCTGAAAGCAGAGGCTGAGTCCAAAAGCATTTTGATTAATCAAAAAGCAGATTTCTAGTAGCTTTCTTTGATTGAAATCATTCCCTTGAACCTGAAAATATGAGCTACCAGTGCTGCCTTTTTTTGTGAATACTTGCTGTTTTCAGTTAAGTTCTCAGTTAGGACTGAGTTTTCTTGACTCCTGATGATGAAGAAGCTAGTGGTTTAGTTCCCATAGTTATAGAGAGACAGGCATGACTTGGACCTTCTGCATCTGCTGCACATAAATGTGGAGTGATGGTCAGTATGCTTCCCTCAGCAGCAAAGCTGGCCTAAATTCTTGGCTCAGCTTGACCAGGTGTAGTTTTGTGTGGGGTCATGTTACAAACCTTATCATTTAAATAAACTGATTATTAAAAATCTTACCCCTTCTCTTTCCAACCCCACTTCTGTTTGGGGGTGTAACCTTTAAAGTGGCAGGAATTTTCTGTGTCATTGTTGGCTTTTTTTGCTAACCCAAATAATTTTATTTCAGTGATCTAGTGTATGGATTATCACCACCCCCTCCCATAATGCCATTTTAAACAAACATCAGACTCTAGCTTAATTCTCTTGGTTAGGCATTAAGGCTGATAGTCACCAATGACATCCAGATGCAAATCCCTGTTCTGCTTTCACTCAGAGCAGACACTTGAAACTGATTTCTAAAATCCAGATGTCATCATAATTCCCAGTATGTTCAGCAGCCTTACTCCCTGCCTATGGTGATGGTGATTTTGAAAGGGTTTGTAGACAGACTGAATAAATACTGAAACGTGCCTTCTTTATGAAACAAAATTCTGTTTTCTATGTTGCCTGCTATGTCAACTGTATAGAGCACCACGTGAAACACGTATTTCTGTTCTGAAGTTGTTGGGCCTTAATTTTCATCTTGTTTTAGCTCTAAAAATATTACTAAAATATCATATAACAACAACAGGCCAGATAGATTCCCCCAAATGTGCTGTTTTCCTATGTTAGCATTCAAGAAGATAAAATCTATAATAAAAATTACAAAATTCTGATTGTCTGAAAGAACAGATGCCACCCTTTGGGGAGCAAGTGCTTTTCATGCAGCTGCTGTGCTTCTCTTTCATCCCCACCCCATCTTCCCAGCGTTGCAACTCTCTAATTCATTTTGTGCATGAATAATCACTAGCATTTTACATTTTCTGAATTTTGTATTAATAATAATACTTGTAAGGTCTCTTTACAGTCATAATGCATCCTATTTAATATTGTGTTTCTAGGAATACAAGAAATGCATATAAAACCAGTGTACAGATATTTCTGCTTTAGGATACAAAGCAGACACTAGCAATATAGCGAAGATAATAGATCCTTCATTAATAGGTCTTGTGATTAATTATATTCCATCAAGATTTTTTTTACTCCTCCACCTCCAGCTCACATTGTCTCTTTTAATATTTCTCTGGTGTGAAAGGTTAAGAGGAAGGAGGTAGTCGCAGGTCACTCACAGGGCATTGATCTGAGGTTCAGATCTCTCAGTATTAGAGATTGCCCATACATTTTAACATGGCTTTTGCTAAGAAGAGCACAGATGTGATAGAGCTGAGGCTCTTTATCCCTTTCTCCTTTGCTTTCTGCTAAAGTTTGAATATTTTCATGCTATACTGCTGGGCTGCTCCGCAGTTGTCTGTATGGATCTATGTTACATCCCTGCTGATGACTTTTTTAGAAACAAATTGTGATACCAAGTGAGAGACTTTTTGGGTTTTGAATTGCCTTAAAAAAAAAAAAGAAGAGGAAAGGAAGAAAAGGTAAACTACTTAACACTACACTGCTATATGCACACTACCACATACATTGCTACCACTCAAGTAAGCGTATTTAAAGATTAAGCTAACAAAGGCATGCATGCAAATTAGGATGTCAGCAGTTACATTTTGTATAACTCCTTCATTCAGCTGTCTGGTGCATTTTCCTTAATTATATGATCACACAGACCCCTTTCAAATCCAGTGCCTGGGATGAGCCAGCTCTCAAGATGAATGAAGGGAATATAATGCCTCATTCCTGCCAGCAGTTGGAAGGCACATGTGGAAAGACACAAAAGACTGCAGGGAGGGACAGCCTGGGGGCATGACTGTGGCAGTCAGAGATCAGCACAGAAGGTAGAGGAGGCACCGGAGGGATGGAGGACAGCAAAGTTAATTCCTCTCCAGAGGGACAAGGGAAGTTCTGGGAATTACAAAGCAGATACTGGAGGAATGCATTAACCTGTTATTTTCTAAGCATCTAGAAGATAGCATGATGGCAAAAACATAAAAGGGTTTGTCAAGAGCAATTATCTTGAACTGACAGCACCTGTCATAGAGGATAGATGGAAGGTAGGAGATGTGATAGAGCGTGACTTTGATAAGGCTGTCTGTACTGTTTTTGCAGAACTAGAGAAATACAGCTTAGGTGCTATTGCTTTGGCAGGAAGAGAGCATAGGAAATTGAAAATTGTATCCAAAGAATAAGTCTCAGTAGCTGACCATAATGTAAGATTTCGCAGGCATCTGTCCTGAATATGTTACTCATCAGCATTTTCATTGCTGGGTTAGATGAAGGTGCCAGGATGGCATCACTTAGAATTCCCATATGACTGCAGCATCAGGGCATGCAAGCACTTTAGGCACCAGGATTAGAAATCTACATTATTTTAAATGATAAAATAAAATTCAGTACAGGAAAGAGTAATGTGCTTTATTGACAAATGGGAAAAAAATTCAAAAGCAGAGATGGGGAGGACTGACCAGGCAGCTCTGCAGAGAAGGGCTAGCAAGTCTAGCCTCATGGCTCACAAGTGCAGCCAAAGAGGGGTTATTTCTGAAGGCTATGAAATCTCTGTCATTTAAAGCTTTTAGAAGCAAGTGGGACCAAAATCTTTTGGTGACAGTTCAGGTCTGATTAATCTGCATTACCACTTTGGGAGTTGATTTTTGCTGTGCCTTTATTGTTGCTTTATTTTGAGGTTGGTTGTGGTGACGTAGTAATCCTTTTAGGATTTCTGTGATGTAGGGATGTTCCAGGCACTTAAAACTGCTGTCAGATCTGAATTCCCCCAAATGCTGTAGCTGTCATGCCTGAAACTACCATTCTCAAACCTTTCTGTCTTTTGATACCCCTATAAAGGAAATAGCAATACTACCTTGCTTCAGAACATAATTTCATAAGCATTTTTGCTGATGGGTGAGGAAGTTGTTTTCTCTCACTTCCTTTGACATTTTCCCCTTAATTTCTGCTGGTTTCTAGAGTTCTGTAGTAACAGAGATTTCCTTATCCTATGTCTGTGCCAGTATCTGTATTGCCATGGAGAAGGGGGTGGCTGTTACTGGGAGCCAGCAGGTAGTACAAGGAGGGCAACAGTATTAAACGGGTCTAAGCAGAAATGTGTTCTGAAGACAAACCCTTGAATGTTTGAGAAGCACCAGTATACATGGTGATGTGTATAACCTTGTAAAAAACCTGAAGAAATCAATGCTTTTCTTTGGAGCAAAGTATGAACATTGTGCAGTAAATAATGCATCACACCACACATTGAGAGGGGATGTGAAAAATAAGTATTTGAAGAGATGTTCATTAAGTGTGCACCACCTCTCTGGCTCGCTGCATGAGGCAGGTGTTCCCTTGAAGTGGTCTGTAATTAAAGACTACAGTAGTAACACAGATGAAGGAGAGGCTTGTCTGCCTCATCATTTCTCAACTTTGAAACATTAATGACATCCTTTGAATATTGTATATCAGTGTGTCTCTCTCAGTTCCTCTTTAATTAAGTTCCTCTGAGGTGGAACACAGTGTCGAAGTGTTTCAAGTATTGTTTTCAACAAGGAACAAGTATTTTAGAAAATGTTGTTTAAGGAATTAAAAACTCATTATTTTTTCCATAGCCTGTTTCAACTGAGAGATGATTAAGAAATTCATAGGGGGTACATGCTATATGCATTAAGCAAGCCTATACTTTCTCTTTAATGATACTAAGGGAGGCTATGAGAAGAGAAACCAGTTAGCATTGTTTAAATCTGTTCTAATGAAGAGAGCACAAAATTTAGTAGACAAAGCTTCTGTTTTTCAATGCATACAGAATAGGTGACTGCGTAGTGAAGGACTGTGAAAATTTTTGCTTTGGAGGGATCTGAACTGATCCACATTCTACTGTGAATTCCAGCATCTAGATTTGAATGCAAATTATTTTATTTTTCTCCTTGGGCATTTTGACGTGCTACAGATGTTTATGTCTATTTTTGTTATCTTTTCCTAATACTTTTAACTCTTGCTTTTCTTTCCTTGTGCATCCACCACAGATCGCATTCAATTGGGTAAGACACGTTACTCTCCTTGAATACTGTCTCTGTATTTGACAGGATTTGTTTTATGGACTGTAATGCAGTAATCTCTTTCCTTTCCACATCATTATATAAAAAAAAGCATATGCTACTTAAACTGCTATGCCTCATTTTTACAGCATGGTGAGTGTAACAAGAAAAGGATTGGACTAAGTGTTTGCCTTTAGTAGATTAGTCTCAAGTTCAAATAATGGACGCATTCAAAAGACGTTTGTCTTGGGAAAACCTACTTATGTATAATCCCATTCTCTCAACCATATTCTTTCTGTCAGAGGTTCAAACATGAGCAACAAACAGTAAATATTCTATTCAGCTGAGTTTTGTAAAGATTATATGAAGTATTTTATTACCTCCTCTTCAATTGAGCGAAAGTATCTTAGTCATAATTCTTTAAAAGTCTTGGGAGTCCTGGGGAAATTTCCAAGTTCTGAAGATGATGAAAGTGTTCTTCATATTTATAGTTTGAGTTTATTGATTCTGTAAAGCACTTGAACATATGATGAATTAGAAGACAATTTTGTGTTCTCAAAGACTGTGTAAGCAGTCTGACTTTGTCAGTTCACCCTGAAGAGAGGCTGAACAGCCCTGAATGCCTTGCCAGTCCCTCTGGCCTTGTAGTATCTTCAGTACTGAAAAGCTCAAGAGCATTTTTTCCATTCAGCTAAATTGTCCTAACAAGGACTCAAACTTCACTGAGTAAACTTCAAAGTACAGGATAGATTTACCTTCTTAACTTGCTCTGACATGAAATTAAAATGTAATATTTACCAACCTCTGTCAAGAAGAATCTCTGTTCTCTGCAATGATCACTATCACAGATATGTATGTCTTTAAAAAAAGCTTAATGTTTCAGGCTTGTACTAAAAGATTTTGCACTGTTTCTATAACTTGCATTCTTACCTCTGTAGAGAAATTGAAATATGAACTAAAAAAATAAGCACTTAATATTTGGATTGTCTGTCATGTGCCATCTCTCAGCTGTGTGAATTTAATCTTCTGACTTAAACCTTTATATTTGGAATGTTTTGCTTTTAGAAGAGGAGCAGTCTATGCTGAAATACTTCCAAACTCTATTTTTGCCTATTTGTTGTGGGTTGCAAAACTAAAATGGCAAGGATGCTTGCTTGATTTAATGAGGATTTTTAAAGATTTGCTGCACTTGTGAAATGTTTGGGCTAATCTTTCAAAGTCTTAAAAATTATGTGAAAAATTGAGCATGAAACATTAGTATCGTCTGCTGTCAGTTCTTGTCTGCCTGATGTTAGCAGATGCCTTAAAATATATACAACAGCAAACAGTTTGTATTAGATCTCACTGTTCCACCTGCTTGCCAAATAGCTCTTCCCTCCCTTCCCCACCCCCATTTCTGAATCTTTGATCGGGCAAAACAAATCTGTATATAAGCTCAGTGCTGCTCTGATTTGGTATAGTTTAAAACAAACATGTGTGTTGTTTGTATGAGAGCTTTCATTTGTTAATGCTATAATCATGCTTTGCTTGCAGCCAAGTGTCGGTGATCCTTACAGAAAAGCTCTCACTGTTCTCAGTCAGACCAGGCTGCAGCTGTCAGTCAACACTGGAACTAGCAATGCAGGGATTTTTGGAAAAAGACACACTCTTGCATCACACACTTTACTTAAAGTGCTCAGATCTAAGTGTGCTTATGAAAAGTTCTTAAGCTTCAAATAAAGATTCTTATTTGGACCAGGCTTGATGCTTCCCGGCAGCAGGGAACAGGTGATGCTGTGAAAGCGGAGTTGGTGTCTCAGGTGAGAAAATTTGGCTCGTGTAAGTCAAGCAGTCAGTATGGGTGGCATCTGCAGGGCTAAAGGTGTGCAGCATTAGGTGGGGATCTTTGAGTAATGCAGAGGCGCCATCCTCTGCTCACAACCTTCCAATACTCCTGCTGCTGGGAAGTCTGAGGAGGGAAGTGTCACAAGGAGAGCTGGACGAAAGCTGTGGAAAATAGCTCTGTATGTTTGGTAAAGTCAAGGAGTGAAGGAGGAAGTGAAATGTCCTGGAGAGGTGTGGGTAAGTGAGAGAGCTGCCTGTCTGGTTGAGGAAACCTCTTGTTTGGGTAACCATTTGTGCAGGAGCCTTTTGAGACTGGGAGTCAGCTGACCCAGCTCTGCTGATGTGCACAAACCTGGGGTATATCCCTCCTGCCCAACACAGAGCTCGTCCTCTGTCACTGTGGGACATAGATGTGGCTCTCTCATGTGTCTCTCATATCTACAGATAGCCAGGGTCTGCAGCATTCAAAAGGATTTTGCCAGGAGCTGTTTTGCATCATTTTTTTGAACCCCATTGCTGGTCAGTTGACATGAGAAGGTGGTGGTAAGATCTTTAGTGCTGAGAGTAAGCTGGAGTTTGACAAGCCCTTGCCATCAGGAGGGGAAGAATACCAGCACTTTTGAATATGTACATTTACAGCTAAGTTAAAAAAATACATTATATTCATATTGGAAATCGGATTTTACAGCTTTTTTTTCTTATGTTTTTCTTTCACCCCACAGCTATTCTATTCGCCATTCCATAAGCATGCCTGCAATGAGGTAATGTGCTACCCATATTCTATTTGATATGGTGATGTTCAACATAGTAATGAGGGGGGATTTGCATACTTTGATCCTGATCCTGCAGTTTTTAGTTGGATGAGTAGTCTCACTTCGATCAATTAAGGTTATTCATGTAGATGAGGGCTGCAGGACAGGCTAGCTGTGGGGTTTGGTTTTTTTCATTTTAATTGTATTAACTGCCTAATCTCTTGTACAAGCCTTTGAGTAAATTAAGCAGTTCTGAGATGTATTTGGGTAGCTGATTGTTATCAGGTTTGTATTACTGAATCTGAAATTCAGTTGTTTTGCTGTCTCTAGAACATCATCCAAAGCCCATTAACGTCAGAGATGCTTTCCACTCCAACAGGCTTTGGATCATGCTCCTATGGAGGGATTTTACATGAGTGCTTTCATATTTTAATGGCTATAATCACGCTTTACTTGACTGCAGCCAAATATTGACGTCTGTTCAAGTAAAGCTCTGACTGTTTTCAATAAAATTAGTATCCAGCTTTCTTTTTACTCCCTTGGCCTCTAAATACATGACTGTTCCCACTCTGTGCCAAGCATGCATGAAAAACAAACTCACAACATAAATGACGGATGCTCATTAATTCAACTTCAGCAGGTGGGTAGTTTAAGGCAAGAATTCACCAGTGTGACCTACAGATCAAATATAAGTTCTAAAAGTCAGTTTCTCTCTCCTTTTGACCCGTCTTGCCCTATGAAAATTTGCATCATTTTTTCAACTGGCTTCTGTTTGCCCTTCCCTTAAAATTGGGTAATTTTAACTCAGCTTGATAAGGGATATGATAGAAATGTATTTGCAGAACCAAGAAGTGTGCTGGACAACAGTGCCTGAGTTTCAGAGTATTCACTAATTATGAAGCACAACATATGCTGTAAATGAGCTCTCAGACGCCAAGCAAGAAGCAGACAACTAGAAGAAGGTCCCCTTCACCCACTGTAGATTTGTCCAAGTCTCCTTTGTGTTGAATGAACACAGAGAAAAGCTTAGCTTAGTCAGAGAGGCACCTTAGGAACACAGTTTCTCTAAAGCCTTTGTCTTTGAAAGCAGAAGTCACAACATCATAGAGGGGAAGGGGGCGGTGGGGTGGGTGGGCAGGCAGGATTCCTCAAAGGCATTTGGGACCCACTTCCCATGTGGTTCTAATCCCCTTCCCAGCCTTATGACATTAAACTTGGCATCTTTTTAATAATGTAGGTTATGGACTTGCTCATCAGCTAAAAAAAAATGTTTATTTCTTTACCGCAACAATACAAATGGATAAGGCCATAGAAAAGCAGCATTTCAGGCAGCATTGTCTGGTTGTTCTTCTGAGAACGTGACAAATATATCATAGAGTAGGCAGGCCAGTTATCATCATTTGGTTTCAATTACTAGGCAGGTTCTGCTTTTGAAAAATTGTAGCTAAAAAATACTCATCCGATTACTATAATTGGATTTGACTGACAGAGCAAAGTGAGTGTTCATAGGCCTGTGCTGCCCGCCAGCCTTCATGCTTTACTGGCAGTGTTGCCTGGTAAGAACTGATCAAATTATGGAGTTATCCCATGATGTTGGCAACTCTTTTTCCTCCCTTCAACTTTTTCTTTTCTCCTAGGAATTCTCCAACTTTTAAATCATTTGAGGAGAAGGTTGAAACCACTGTCACAAGCCTTAAGGTAAAGGTTAGGGGCAGAGTTTGCATGTATGTGTGTATTAAAGTGTGACAGCGTAGTTGTCCCTATATTTGTACAGGAGACTGACTGAATTTGTTGTTCCATCAAGAATTTCATGGTAGTGCAAGAGCACAAATGGAAAATTAAGGCAATATGCAAAGAAATTGTTTTCCTTTGCTTTGTTGCTAAGAAATTATTTCTGATGCTTGCCAAAGTAAGGAAGTGGCCAAAAATAGTCAAAATGCCAAAACTAGTGGTGGTAAGGAGTGTCTGTCCCAGTCATCTCCAGGTGTCATTCAAAAATAGAAAAAGGTAATTCAAACTGCACAGCTCTGAAGACCATTTCCTCTCATTGATCTGCTTGAGGAGTCTGATCTTATTTTGTTGATTAAGCAAAGGTGTTCTAGAGGAGAGTATTTGTCATGCCAGCTCAGCCTGTTGTGTTCAGAGTGCTCTTAGATCATCCTTTAAGAAATCTGTAATTAAGCAGGACAACACGGTAAGCTTTGAGTCTGAAATAATCCTCCACATCTCATGAAAACCTCCATTGTCTATCTTTATGGGCAAACTCACTGACATTTTCTCAAAATATTTTCTTTCTGTATTTTCTTTCTTTCTTCCTTTACTTTCCTCGTGTGAATGGGGAAGGGAAGCTGGAGTCATGGATCTAAGGTGCCACCAGGGTAGACTGTGGACAAATGGGAATGTCTCAGCATTGCTCCTCCTTTTTCCTGCCTCTGTTCCAAGGCTTGCAAGATTAGGAAGACTAGGAGACCAGGGGATGGGGGGAGAAATCATGGAATTATCCTTCAATTCTAGGGTTTTGTTGTGGTCTCAAAAAGTGGAGAACTACACAGAGGCCCCTGAAAAAAGAACAGCAGTAGTCTTAGCATCTTTCCAACCCCCATGTCAGCTACAAATCTTCAGTGATCCTACAGTGTTCTGCAGTTTGCCAAAACCAATATTCAGATTTCATAACATTTACAAATCAAATTTCAAATTAAATTTTATTTGCTCTTGGAGTTTGGACTTTGGGTTGCAAAGTGTAAAATACTTTCTTGGGAGAGTATACAAGTTCATTTTCCCCTGGAAATCAAACAGGACCAGGGTGCCTCATTCTTTTCAACTTTTCTGAAAATCTGAACTCTGATGAATTAAATGTTTTATTGGACTTTCAAGCTAGGTAAGATGCTGTGCTAGCAGTTAGTGCTAGCTAAAGAAACAGGATTACATAGGATTAACCCTTTGGAAACTTAGAACACAAAGTTCATTTAATTAAAATAATCTTCCTAAGCATTCAGTGGCTGAGAGGTTGAAAAAATGTCAGCTTAAGTTTGGCTGTAATTCTAGGATGGAATAAAAGGTTTTGTCCTATTTTCAGGCTTGAATCAACTTGGAGCGGGCATATCAGCAAACAAAGCCACAAAAGAATGTTCTCTTACCAAGACAACCTAGTCACAACAGCTTTTTCTCTTTGTCACTTAGTCTTGATGACTTCCAAATCTTTAGATACAGCCCTATCTTTGTTAGGAAACTCCTTTTCCAAATATTTAGTCTTACTGATTTTAATTTTTAATATTTATTACAAATTCAGTGACCTGAAGCATCCTGGAAGCAGATGAGCATGTACATTGGATATGTTTGGTTAATGTATTTTGGTGTCTCTTCTGTGCCTTCCCCAATGAAAATGCTGCTTTATATACCAGTATCTAGGCACTAGAAGTGCCTGATGAGATTCAGGTTGCTGGGTTTGTCCTTGGCTTACTGCATTCCTTCTGCTGTCCAAAATCTGTTTGGTTTTATGGTTTATGTATTTTCTGAGCATGTGTGTTGCCATAGCTAGCATGTGAGCCACTCAGAAAATGAACCAGTTCATTTTAGTATTCATCTCTTACCCAGCCTGCACAGAATTGGAAAAAAACAGTGAAACCAGTGTGAGCTACTCAGGTTAACAACCACATGGAGTTTACTGCTAGGGTCTAGGATCCTATCTGGGATCTACTTAGGGACTGGTTCCTTTAAGCATATGAGACATGCCACTGTCAGATTTTATGATGGCAGCCTAGTTTGGAAATTGTGAAGAAGTTGCTTTATTTGTCTGGTTTTATAGCTGTTGTTCTAAGGAAAAGCCCATTCCTACGTATTCTCTGCCTGAACATTTCCCTGCTCTCCATGGCCACGGGGTGGGTAGGAAATGGATTTGCTTCAGTGTGAGCAGAGGAACTTACTGTTCTCTGTTTGCCTTATTTCAGACCAAGGTTGGTGGGACAAGCCACACAGGAGGCAGTTTTGAAGAAGTTCTCAGCTCTACAGCCCATGCCAGTGCTCAGAGCTCCCTTGCTGGCACCCGACTCCCTGAAAGTGAAGAAGAGCTTCAGTGTTAAACAGCAGGCCCTCCTGAGCTTCACATGCCTCTCTTCAGAGACTTGCCCAGACAGTGATTTTTCAGCCCTCCCTCACCACACAATTTGTGCAACAAGGTTTTGTCAGCTTTGGAAAATTGCTGTCCTGGCCTTGTGTTGGAGAAATGTTTCCTCTCCTTATTTCTATTTTAGATGGGCCATTTTATCAGTAGGTACTTTGTACATCATCAAAACCACACGCAAGTCATTGGCTATAATGCACTAAATTATGTGTTAAGTGACGAAATAGTTTTCAGTTACATGTAACTTCCCTCTAACAATCTCCCAGCCTCTGTTTCTTATTTATTTTGGTTTACTCTTTTCTGTCTGCTGGTTTCTGGCTTCCCTCTCAGTGCCACATCAGACAGATGGACCTAGAGCTGTGCAAAGCATTCAACTGCCAGCAGTAGCCCATACACCAGCTGTCTACCATCCATACCAGGTGCCCTTTGCTCAGGAGTGCCTGTATATCATCTATTTCCTAACAGAATTAAAATCACTTACTGTCACAAAAAGCTGTTTCTCCTTCAGTGGTACAGTCTGGCATTGCCCTACACCCATTAGGCAGCAGAGTTAAGGAGGGCCAAAGGAGACACCTGGTTATTCATTCAGAAACAACCTATCACAGCTGCTGATGTCAGATGGTCATTTTGGCTGGAAAAGTTTCAGCTTCAAAATGTACATTGCTTGCTCTCTTTGGTTTGGTAAGACTTGGCAGTGATATTAATTAGAAAATCACGTGGAGTGGAGGGAAGCTCTAATATTTTTGCCTCTATATCTTCCCCTCAAAACCAAGGGAAGATATATTTATGAGCCTCTGTCAAGATACAGCCTTAAGTGAAAGAATACAAACCCAACATTTGGCTTCAGATGTGCCACAGGTTAGAGAGCCCATGCCTTCAGAGCTGCTAGTGTAGACCCTGTTACCTGACAATGCACAGGATGAGTAAGAACTTCACTTTTGGTGTCAAACTTTGTTGTGCTTCGCTCCAGGATGTAACTCCATCAACCGCATTATCTCTGCTCAATCACCAAGAGCCAGACATATCTCAGCTTTGATTCAGCATGCTTTCTGAATTGCATTCTTTTAATGTTTTCTAAGGAAAGAGCAGCACATTTGTGACACGATCTTGCTGTGTCGTGAGCGCGTCAGTCCGCATGTTGCGTCGCTCAGCTCACCACACAGTGAGGTGGGCACAACAGTAAACAGGATGGAAAAGAGCCTGGCTACTTTGAAAATGGATGCAGTTTTTGAGCATATGCCAAAGCTTCTGATCAGTGTTAGCGAGTTTGACATTACAGACTGCTTAAAATTTTGTGAGAAAACGTGGCTTTAAGTGATTTTCATTTTTTCTTGTGTGGCTTTTGTTAGTTTTAACAGTCGAAAGTCCTTTTGTAATGTTCTACTGGACATAAGTTAACTTTGGACATTTATATCACATGCCTCTTTAGTGTGATTTTTAGCATGGAAGCAAATCTAATAATTTTTCTAGTATTCTTGTGACAATTTTCTAGCTTATTTTATGTGGTTTTGTGCATAAATGTGAATTTATTTAATTAAAAATGGAAGATATTGACAACTTAGTTTGTGTAAATGAAGTTCTTGATATTCTTATTAAAAATAAATTTCTCTCTTACTCTTTTACCCTTTGTGATGTTTTAATTGTTTACCAGCAGTACTGAGCAACCTAGTAGAAGGCGTCCCTGGGAACGTCCCTGGCCTAGTAGAAGGCCACTGGGAAGGGAATTGGAACTAGATGATCTTTAAGGTCCCTTCCAACTCAAACCACTATGATCACTGTACATGGGGTTCCACGCTCTGTCCGCTCAATCCCCTGCAGAATGGAGAAGCCTCCTGCTGCGCTGCAGGAATGAACTGTTCCTGCTTAGGGTAGAATTTGTGCTGGGTGTGTTTCTACCAAACATCTCTTCAAGGCCACTTTTCTGGTTTGTCAGGAATGTTCTCAGTTCTGCCCTTCCACGCATCTGTGGCTCTTTCACACTCAGCATTCAATGCAAACTGATGGAGACTATAATTTGTGTGCACCTAGGTGGAATAAAAACACTGACAAAAGCTCGGTGGGCCCTGCTCCATCCCCCTCTGCAGTATGACAATCTGTTGCCAAGAACCACTCAGCAGCTCAGCAAAGTGCAACCTGTTCTTCAATGGCTGCCACACAGCATGACTGCTGCCCTGGGGGGTTCCTGAGCAGAGCAGGCATCTTGCATCTCCTCTCAATACACTCAGACCAATACACTCTGCAGATTTTGTGCACTGTGCCAGCCACTGAGGCAGGAAGTTCCCAGCATCTCTGCACAGCACTTTGTGCTCCAGGAAAGCCATCAGCCTCCGAACGTTTTGTGAGTGTCACTCAGACCCCCGAGGTTTGCATAAAGGAAGCATTTCCTGAGCATGGTGCCTAAAAATGCGTGTTCAGATACATTATCTACCTTTAAAGGGTATGACAATTCAATTTAGTTTTACGCTGCTGCATTTGACATGACGCAGAAGACAGAGAACTTCGGGTCTCTGACATGTAATTTTTCCTAATTTTTCCAGGTGCAAATTTTGCTTATTTGGTAATCATGGGTTAATTAATTAAAGGGTAATCATGGCACTGCCCTTATCAGTAGCTGCACAAAACTCAGCAGTTGGGCCTGACACTTGCAGACACTGGCCTCATTATGGCATTTACCACCACGACAGCTTTTCTTCACAATCATTCTGTACTTCTACACTAGTGTCTACTTCTGCCACAAACTCATTTATGGCAGAACTGGTACCAGCGTGTGACAGCCTGAAGAAGGGAGGTAGCTTTTACATGGCTGTACAGGCTTCTGCATCAGATTGCACAAACTCCAAAGGTCCGTCCAACCCCAGGTATTCTGTGATTATCAATTACCTGTGAAGGAATCTGTAAAGCTGCTAGTCTGGGAGGAATACAAGTCAGGAATACAGACTTTATGGAAATAACTGGCACCATTCCCTGATACAACACATGGACAGGGGAAAAGTTGTATGGAACGAAGAAGATACTGAGAAAATGTGATTAATGAGATTACCAGTTTTATGTACCATCACTTAAGGCTTAGGCATTCCAAAGAAATCTCATCTCTAAGCTCAGTCAAGAGCTTCTACAGACACATGCTCATTGGTCTCGTTTCTGTGTAGCACCAAGTGGATATTAACCCATTTTGAAGGCACTTCAATCCATACATTTTTAGAAATTCACAGAACAAGACTACCAGCCCCACAGAGTGCATTACATGAACAGATTAGATTGCAATCAACTAATTTTTAAATGTACCTAAATTTCCCCAGTGGAGAATCTATTTGTAACTGAGACTGCATTAATCAGAGGCTAATTAAAAAGAAGGAAAACCCTAAATATACTAATTCTTTGTTCCCTGACACAACCTCTGATCTGGGAGGCAACTACACCACCTGCTCCTCTCTAAATGGTCCTGGGATTCTCAGCAGTGAATGCACAGGAAAAAAATCTGCCAGCAGAATCAGTGATGTTAGAGAAGAAAAAAAAATGACCAGAATATAAATCAAAGTATTTATTATGGCTGCAGCATTTAGGAACACCTCAGGAAGGCGGGTGAGATGTGGCAGCTATTCTTTTTTTCCTCTCTGTGTTAATCAGAGATACAAGCTGGAGTATTTCTGGGTGAACAAACTTCCCTGCAAAACAAAAGAAAGGGAAGGTTAATGAAAAATGCTCTCATTTTGCCATGTGTGAAAGGCAGAGATGTCATTTTAGGCTCAGAATAAATGTCAAATTATTCTTTTAAGAAAGTGAATGCTCCCAGTTCAATCCATCTATGGAGTAAGTGTAGTTACACCCCTTCTTCACAAAAAGCTTGTATTTTGTGCTCTATTAAGACACTTAAGAGCTGAAAAAGGGATGCACCCTGACCAAAATAATCTGATACTACGTACTGTGCTACAGGAAACAACTGCAATTACAGCTGCATTTAGACTATGTGCTGTAGGCTCTACTCAGACACCAGCCCAATTTAAGTTGTTAAATTCTGGTAGGGGAGCAAAGATGTCAGTTAGAAAATAAAGCATTACGAGCTTCATTCATGTTGTCCTTTTTTTATTCTTCACTAATCAAGGTCTTATATTTTCCAGAGAGATTATTATTTCCTTGGGGAGTCATCAAAGTATAAATAAGTCCCTTGTCAGGGACTCTGGTGACTGCTGATCCTCTTATCCCTAGAGTTTGTCTATCCCTAGTGTTTTTCCCAGGACAGGATGAGTTAGTTACAGTCCTCCTCTGGTCTTCAACTACCCCACCAAAATGATAGAGATTATTATTTTACCTATCTCTGCTTTCAACTACCAGTGGATTTTGCAAAGGATGAAAAGCAGTGGATAGAATGAAAATAATCACAGTTGCAACTTAATAATTTCACTGAGGTTGTTCTCACAGGAACCTCGGGCAGGTCACTCAGCTCACTTGGGGATAACAAATTCTACTTCACTGGTTCCAGAAACATTGACAGAGTACAAACAAGCTGCTGTCAAAGCACCACTGAACACCAAACACTCCTTTATGAAGACTCTGATGTTTCAGGGAGATCCTTACATACATGAAAGTGCAATGAAAGCTGAGCCTCTCTCTAAGGTAAGAAGTGATGTAAAAGGAATTTAGCATTAATGAAATTAATAGAGATAAATGTCAGGTATTTTCACATTGCATTAAGTTTCCCCAGAAATATTAGGGGACTTGAGCAAGGAGTAAAATAACTAGTTCTCACTTTCTCTGAATGTCTGTCAGAATTAAAAGGCAATTTATATATTTCATTTATGAAAGAAATAAAAAGAAAAGCCCAAATATCATACCAGCAGTGGAATCAAAAAAATCCTGCAGTCTGCCAGGTGTGTTTTCCAACTCTTCGTACTCAAATGCTTGCAGGATCATCTCACACTGATCCAACTGCTTTACAAACTTGGCCTCTGCAGTAGACTGGTTTTCGTAATCCTGAAAAGATTTGCAGTTATAAGAAAATAATTTTGCTACTCTGAAACAGAACATTAAAATCTCTCTATATATCTAGAATTTTCTTCCTTAGTACAAGCCAGTCCAGAAATATTCAGCACAACTGCATCTTTCACTTAGTTTTTACAAACACAACAGTGGTCAGCAAAACACTTGAAATATGTGCCAATTTTGTAATAAATGCAGTGGGACATAAAATACAATCTTTTGTATAATCTAACTCTAAACATACCAATTGTTTTGGCTGAATCAGGGATGATATGGAGGCAACTCTGCATGACATACAAGTTAAACAATAGGTTTGATTTAACAGTATTTTACGTATAAAGATCATTTCGGGCCTGCCTAAAGCTATGAATTACCACACCGTGTGCCTATGCACTGTCACCACCTATTTTTAAGGCCTATTTTGCACTTTTCTCACCACCTGCTGTTTCTATATGGAGTTGTTCTTTATATTTCTCTTGTCATTCCTGCCTAATCTTTTTGGTCTAATCTGTCTGAGCTGCTTATGTCTTTATGTCTCTCCTAAGAGATAGGAAGGGGGTTAAGGGGTTTCCTCCCCTTCAGAATTTAAGTCCTTTAATCTCTCTGCTATCTTTTTCCTCTCTACAGTCATCATCAGTATATATTTATGAGTTATTCACATTTCTAGACAACTTGAACAATTTTGCTGTCATTTGCTTCCAGTGATGGCTGCAGACAGGTTTGGCACTGCATTTTCTCTTTTCCAAATCTACTGCATTGTCTGTGATGTCTCATGAGTAGGTCTTCCTGACTCTCCTGACTTCCAAAACCAACCCCATAAAAAGGGGTTTTCTTCTGTGCAGGTTACCATTACCTTGATACTATTGGCAGGTCTGACCCTATTCATCATGCCCATGACCATTAATCACACTGAAGTACACACTGGGCCCATTTGTGCTCCCAGATCCACAGAACCAGTGGATCGTAGTATTTCCACAGAGAAGAGCAGAATGAGTGCAGGAAGAGGTTTGCCTGCTGAGCAGAATCTGGCATTCTTTTCTGCATCTTAAAACAATAACTGTGGTGTGAGTGTCATTCGCAGTAGCAAGATTCAGGCTTTGTAATTCCAGCACACTGATGCTCACATAAGTGTGACAGTCATTTCCTTGTCTTGCATACTATTAGGAGTCTGTTCTTAGGCTTATTACTTTATCTTTGAAGTCAGAAACCCAGATTTTGATAGGCATGATTGATTGGCTTACTATTCCACTATTAGATTTCAATGGTACTTTGAATTTTCAGTGACATCTTCATCATTATTTTAGTAATAAATTTCATTTCAGTGTTTTTATCTTGTTTTTTACTTTTCAACTTGAGCTTTGCCTCATTTTTAAATTGTTTAAGTACTACTTATTTTCTTAAATCTATTTACTTCTAGTTTATTTTCTTATAATCTATTTTGCAGGGGGGAGGGTCCTTCAAAGACAACAAACTCTTGGCAGCATTACAGAGGAGAACTTCAGGAAAAGGAAAAGGTTCACCTGTAAAAGTTGGTCCCACCTCCAACAATTAGGTGGGAGTATCAACCTGTTGCCAACTTCTTTGTGCTATAGAGCCCACCAGATGTTATTCACACCTCAGCTCACACTGCCCTCAAGAAACATCAGCTATGACATGTGCAACTGTGCACAGTGCTGAAACAAACACTTACTGCTTCCTCCCCGCAGGTGGTTAAGACTCTGAAATAACAGTGTACTTTGGAAAAACACTGACTGGTCTCTCCAACACCACAGGCCATCTTTTAAAAATCATCCTCGTGCTTTTGCACTTGAGAATAAAAACACAGGACAGAGCTGAAATGTGTTGACTCATTTACTTTACTGTTTTTTCAAACATATTTTGGATTAAGTTATAAAGTGAAAATATATCTGAGGCATCTTTCTGCTGCCTCTCTCTCCTACAGTACACTCGCCAAGTACCCACCACCACCATCCAAAGCAGCAGTCCTTGGAAAGCTGAAAGGCAAAGGTAGACAGAGACAAGGGCAGGGCAGTGCAGGAAGGACTTGCTGAGAGAGTTGAGAGATCTTGTCCTGCTCAGCACTGTTCAGCTCTGGTCCATAATCACCTTCACTCAAAAAAAATCATAGGGAAACGTCTCTGGCTTGCTGAGAGCACAGCACAGAGCACAGCACACCAAGTTATCCCTCTTTTTTATTTCTTAAGGAGCAACTAGTTGTTCCACTTAACACTAGAGGGACTACATGTGAATAGTAGATTTTTAGGGTACCCTCTCTGCCACGTGGGTTGCACTCATGCTAATGAATTGCAGACACAGTGCCAATAAATAATCCTGAAGGAAAGACCAAATTATCAAAAGTGCGCAAATGTTAAATTATGGTTAATGAGAATGATGAAAACCTAACATGCTTTCAGCATACTGAACCAGCTCTTACAGTGTCACAGGAGAAGACTGAGACCAACAAAGAAAAAGACCAAATTATAGAGAACAAACCTTATCTATCAAAACCTCATTTTCCTCAATTGTAACAGTTTCTCAAGGGAGAAGGAACTAGTGCTCCCTAAAACACACACATATTATTTCCCATATCTGATGATGTTGGTTTACCCCCTGTACCTTAAAATACAGCTCTGAGTGCCCATTCCCACTGCCTGTTCAACCACACAACTACAACAGGAGAAAAAAAAAAAAATAACCCTAAACCTAAAGCAAAACCACAAACAAGGTGTTGTAGAAAAGGCAGAAATCAGATGCAAATACCTGGAATTTAAATACACTCTAAGTAGAGTATAATGTGAATATAAGACACAGACTCAGGTCATAGAATCCAAGAAATGCAGAATGCATTGTTTGAAGGAAAGGTTGAGGATACAATTCCCCCCATGCAACCATATGGCAGGAGGAGATAAAGCACAGTAATTATAAATTTGAATTGTCTGGAAATAATCTAATCATCCCTCATTTGCAAGTATAAAAGATCTTATCAATTAACAGCATGGGTTCACATAAAAATGGTTACATCACATTCAAATACAAAAGATACTTTCCAATACAAACTTTTAAGAAACCCAAGACCAGAAATCTCCAATGTTTGTAGAAAAGCATAGTATTTTATCAGATTTAAGCTTAAACTTTAGTTTAGTTAATCATTTTAAGTTACTACTAAATATCTTGGTCTAATGGACATTATTAGAAATGAATGCCACAGAAATTACTTGCATAAAAAGAAGAAAATAATCCATGGCACCATCACCTACCATTGTTTTTTTTTTTTTCCTGAATTAAAAACTCTAAATGGCCAGACATGAACAAAAGTGATAATGTAATAAAAAAATCAGATTTATATCCAGAGGGCTGGATGTACAGGACAAATGCTTCCTTCAGCTGTACAAACCAAGCCCTGGATAGGTTCATCTGGAACTCTGAGAGGCCTAGGGGTAAAAGACAGTTATTTTACCAAAGTCCAGGGTTTCTGTTTGAAAAGCATCCTAAAATGACCTTGACTCATACTGTTAAGCTTTATCTTTTAAGCTAATAAATCTCACTTTCTTGAGGTCAAAATAAGAGATGGCACAATTTCACAGGTACATGGGAAGAAGGGAATGAGTAACCCTGAATTTTAACATGGAATTAAAAGAACGCAAACTTACGTCCCAGAGTTCATAGATTTCTTTTCCAAGGTCCTCTGATAGCAGCTGGGTCAGTTGTTGCATAGCTGTCTGAAAAAAATAAGCCATTTCCATTTATCTATTTTCTGAACAACATTTTTACCAATGTATTTTCTGAATTATCTAGTTGTCACCAAGCTAGCAGAAACATCCACTACACAGCATATTACTGTATTGTTTTGACATGGCAAGGTTTGGCTACAGCTAAGGCCAAGGCAATAGCACCTCTGGAATAACGTATTTAAGAGGGGAAATCCCTGTGCAACTCCACCCAGAGGGAGGAGTGAGAAGTGAGAGGAAGGACTCTGCAGATAAAAAACTTAGTGAAGAAGGAGGAGGAGGTGCTCCAGATGCCAGAGCAGATTCCCCTGCAGTCGGTGAGGAAGATCATGGTGAAGCAGCTATGCCCCTGCAGCCCTACAGAGGAGCAGAGATCCACCTGCAGCCCCTGGAGGTCCCTGGTGAAGCAGATATCCACCTGGGGCCCATGGAGGATTCAAAGCAGGGGGATGTGCCATTCCAAAGGAGGTTGTGACCCTGTAGGAAGCCTGCACTGGAGCAGGCTCCTGGCAGAACTTGGGACACCAGAAATTGTTCTGCATACTCTTGGTGTCCTCCCAGCTGATCAGTCTCATTTCTGTCCCATCTCTACTGTTTGCCCAGTAGGGCAAACATGAAGGACTCTTCTGAAACAGCCAACATCACAGGCAAGATAAAGGTTTTGTGCCATGATTGTTTCTCCACTTCAAATACAGGATATAGTATCATAATGTGGTTCCCCATTGCTTGTGACCACTGAAGCATCAAGGTCTCATTCCTTCTCACCTCCTTCCAGCTCTGGAACTCATCAGATTTCAAGGTTAGGTGTCTAAAATTACTTACCTGGCAAAAACCCCTACTCCAAACAATAAGCTCCCTCCTCCACAAAAAACCCCAAAACTTTTTAAATCAGGTTTATTTTCTGCTGCCTTACTGTTGGTGAGACTCACTGGTTAAAGTTACTGCACAAGCAGCAAACTTCAGAGTCAGATCAATGTTGTCTTTAGAGCAATCATTAAAAAGGAGAACTCTGCAGTGGAAGCAGAGTATTGATAACTCACCTCAAGCCACCTCCTGAAGTGGCTACCCATGGTCTATTTTTACAACAAAGTATTTCAGAGTAGTCCCATGTTTAATGCTTTACTCTCCTTCCCACAACAGAAAGTCAACAGAAAGTCCTCACTGACTGAAATGGGAGCAGAAGCAGCTGAAAACACTTAAGAAAACTTAAACATACCCAGGCATCAAAATACTTTTTCCTTGACTAAAGTCAAATGAGAATTCTATCTAGACCAAAGTTGAAGGCTGATCCTCAAGGCACAACAACCTTTAGAGGCTTCCAGAAAACATGTTTCTTCTGTTCAGTGTTTTGAAGCTCTCTAAAGAGTGTAACAAATACTTCAGTTATTATTATCTCTCCCCCCACTTTTATGCTTATCTGGTTAAAACTAGGGGCTGGGGGGCCATGACAAACTCTAGGAGTAAGCCCTTTGCTAAGTGGAAATTAAAGAACTAGGGTGCATTTGGCATTCTTGAAGTACTGTCTTTACTGACTGTAATTTTAGTGTTTCTTTTTTTCAATATACTTCTTACTGTGTTCTTACATTGAACAAAAAAAGGCTTTGAAGAGTTCCTGAGGCATGACATTGCCCTCTAGCTGTGGCTACGGAAATGGTTTACATTTTCTTCAAACAATGCCACAACCCAAAAACAACAAACCAACAGTTTGGATAAGTGCAAGGCCAAAAATAAAGTGACTCTAGGCATGCTGCAATCAAAGAATCACAACAACAACAACAAAAAAGACATCTGCATCTGAGGTTCTGTGGAAAAGGTTTAAATGAAGTCTCTGTCAATCTCACGATCTGGCACCACGCACACAATCTGACATGAACTGTCATCCATCCTACTCAGTGCATCTACTCCCTGCTCTTCACCTCTTGGCAGGGCTGCTGAACATGACTAATTCAGGCTACCTAAACTACAACTAGCTCAGGAAGAAATGACCAAGGTGAAGATTACTTCAAAGATCTTCCATAATTTTGTATTTGGTGATGTTACAGGTACAAAAATCACTGAAAACTCCACTTGGTTGTGTCAGGTTTGTCCAATGCCTATGACAGTATTATATTGCTTGGAGTGTTCCCTCACCACCACCAGAACATCAAAACACACAGAATGCTCTGCAGCTGTGGCTTCACACCTTATGTTCATACCTCTTCCCTTCTGTGTTTCTCCTCTTTTGGGATATTATCTGCAGGAGCAATATCTCCAACGATGCATTCAGCCATATCATGAACCAAAGCTAATCGTATGCATCTGACAAGGAGGGACAGAATAATTAGTTTTTCAGCATTTTAAATTGAAAACTTATGCAAAAGTCTAAGAGACTGCAGAATTTAACCCCCTTTATATACTCTAAAGGTTGGCTGGAGCTTTTCTTAAACTTTATGTAACATTTTTCACTTTTTTACGGGGAGTATTTTCCACCTAGACATGATTTTGATTTCTGATTTCTAGTCCCTACTGCTTGTAAATGTAGATTTAAGTATAAATACACAGTGCACCAGTACCTAATATTCAAAAGTAATATACTTAGCTTTTGTATACTTGGCCTCTGGAGATGCTGTAGTAATTAACTACATTATACACCTCACGTTATTCCTGCAACAGGTAGAAGGTAATCTGATTGGAGCATTCCCTAATTCAGTACATAATCTGTCACTGACAGCTCTGTAGCTATGCCAGTCTGCAGCAGAATACTCGAAGAATTCTTCATATCGGCTCCTAGAGCTTTGTCTGCTATGCTAGAGGATTTCTATGCTTCCTTACTGCTGCAGAGTGCTCCTTCAGTCTGTCAGAATCCACATGGTCTACAGCACTGATATGGCTGTCTGTTGCTTCACATTGCTTTTTAGCAAGGGTCTTCAGCCTGCTTATTTACTGCTTGAAAGAAGACCAGCTTTGAGCCTCTGCATTAAGGACTTGCCTCAACACTCACAGCTAAGCAATGAAGTTTTAGCCCCTTTCAACTGTGCAGGTAAACAGAACCCAGTCCAAAGGATAGAGAGAAAAAAGGGGCAAGGATTTCAAATTCTTTCAGTGTGATTTAAAAGCTCTTACTTGGGACGACCGCTTCTTTTAGCATTTTGTTTGCAGCTCTCCCGTTAACATTAACATCCGGTCGTGATAAGCAGAGGGAGTCTCACCTGTCCTTGTTAAGGCCTTTGTCCTCAGTCACCAAAGCCATCATCGCCATCCTGTACATATGGTCGGAGACGCTCTCTGGGTTTGCCACGTTCCTGTACACCCATCCTGTCCGCCGTACTCTCTGCGCCGTGCCACACAATCACAGAATCAGTTAGGTTGGAAAAGGCCGCAGAGATCGTCGAGTCCAACCTCTAGGGGGATGGATATCACCGTACCCACCAGACCATGGCACTGTAAAGGTTAAACCCCTTGGTTTTGCAGGCCCTCGTTTCAGAGACACCGGCAGAAATTCCGCCCCACCATGGCTTCCACGCTCCGGAAAGCTTTGATGCTCGCAGCGAACACCTGCCCCAAGGCCCAGCCGGCCCCCAAGGTTATACCCGGCCAGGATCCCGGCCCGGCCGACAGCCGAAGGGCCGGGACGCGGCGGCACGCACGAGTCCCCGCCGGGCCCGGCCGGGCCCGCTGCGCCGCCACCACGCGGGAGGAAGCTCCAGCTCACGCCGGGCCCCGTAGCCGCGGCCCCGCGGCCTGCCCGGGCACTGCCGGGGGAGCCCGGCCCAGCCCCAGCCCCCGCGGCCGCCCCGCCCCGCCGTGCCTAGCCCTTGTCCTTTGCCCGAGCTCACCTTGAGCTGCCCCAGCAGCCGCAGGAAGGGCAGCAGTCCGGCCCCGCCGCCCGCCATCGGCAGCACGGCCTCGGCCCCGGCTCCTCCTCCCGCCAGGGCGGGGGGCGGCGGTGCCCGCCCTGCGCCCCCGGGGACGCGGCCGCAGGGCCCGGGGAAAGGTGTCAGCGGGGGCGGAACAGCGTCCCCAAAGCTCTGGCTCCTCGGGCTTCATCAGCCACAAAAAAGAACGCCACGGGCTGCGGCTGCAATGAGGAAAGCAGCAAAGGAAGCTGGGCTGCCCACGGCCATGAGCGCTGCGGCGTGGGGAAGGGAAGGTGGCAGGCGTATCCTCTCCTCTCTTCCGCCGTGGTCCAGCAGGGAGGAGGGAAAGGCAGCCTCGAAGGCAGGAACAGCTCATACCTCTGTCAAAACTGAGCGTCCCGGTGAGCTTTACCGTGCCTAGAAAGAAATAGTACAAACTCATGTTATTGTTCAGAGAAGAGCAGATAGTCCAGGGTTGCTGATGAGTTTTAAATTATTCTGTGGACTCCCGGCATATTGCTACAAGCACATCCGTCACTTTTATAAGTTGAATAAATAACACGGTGATTTTTCTGACAATTGGTGGATTTTCCAAATACATTGCGTTTCTTTTCTACTTTTTTATTGCCAAATGCAATAGCGGATAATGGTTTGAATGTAGTGATGAAATAGTCTGTTTCAGGAAAGAACATCTGCAGTTTTGCCAGCTATCAACAGATAGCAAAGTATTTTTATTTTTATTTGTGCAAATATTTAAGCTCTTAAATTAATAATACAGCCCAGAAAAATTTTAGTGACCATTTTAAGGCCATCTTCCCACAATAAACAAGAATCCTAGACCAGGAAATTCATCACCTTTACACATGTGTATACAATCATAGATGCGTTGGGTGTTGCAGTACAGCTTTTCTGATGAAAGCAAATAATATCTGTTACAGATTTGTCTTGATAGCTCCTGAAACCATCCAAAATAAAAATTTCATGCTTTGTCCAGGCTGTCTGCGTTCCACGTGAATAATTGTTTCATAATGTCCTCTTTGGACCTCCTTGTGCCCACAGTTTTGCCTTGTATTGCATGCCACTCCTAAGGGAAGTTTAGCTCCCCTGCATTGTAGTCCCCCCTCAAGCAGTGGCAGGCTGCTGCTGTATGGGCCCTTATGCTCTTCAACAGGCAAGGCAGGCCTGGGACACCTCAACACCTCCTTCAAGGTGATGTGATTTAGGTCCCAGCTGTCTTGGTAGCCTTCACTGGCAATGCCCCATCTTGATCTGAGAAAGCACCAAAGTGAGCCTTGTGTCCAGCCAGTGTCTTGGCAACACCAAGCAAAGGGGGACAGGACCTTTCCTCAGTATGGTGGCTGTATTCCTGATGTAGGCTATGGTGTGATTTTCTCTCTTTGGGATCAGTGTGCGCTATGAGCTTGTGTTGGACTTGGCTTTCATATAACCCCAGGTCATTTCTGATGAAGCTGCTAGCCAGCCTGTTTCTTCACAGTTGGTACCAATAGAAGGGCTTACATGGCCTTAGGTCCAGAACTGAACATTTATCCTTGTGTTTCTCTGCTTTAAACATTTTGAAACTTCTTCCAGCCCAGTCCAGAAGCTGCCTAAAGTCCCTCACAAATTAAGCTCCACCATTTAGTGTGTCAGCCATCCCTCCTAACTTAGCATTACCTTAAAATAGCCCGAGTGCGTCCTGTCCTGTGGTCCAGGTTTTTAATGAGACAATGCTCCATATGGACCCCTGTATCAACCCCTGGAGTATTCAACCCGTTTTGGGCCTTCACGCACATTGCCAAGCCACCAGTGCCACCCACTGAGCCTGTCAGCCTAGGCAGTTTTCAGTGCATTTATTAGACAACTTGTTCATGCCATAGTTCCTCAGCTTGTGAGTGAAAGTGCTGCAGGAAATAATTTCAACCACTGTAATAAAGTCAAGATCTATTGCAGCCAGTGCTCCATCCTTGTCCACGAGAGCAAACCATTTCATTAGAGGATGCAGTCAGGTTGGCCAAGTGGGATTTGTTCTTCCTAAGTTAATGCCAACTGTTCTTGACTGCCTTCTTGTCTTTTACAGATCTCTTTCTAGTAGAGCTTCATCAACATTCTTTCTGTATCTTGCAGCCTCTTTCTGGTTTCATGAATGGTTGAGAAAAAATCCTTCAGAACGCAATCATAAAAATAATACAGAGTAATAATTTGTGTTTTGAATAAGATGCTGTATCTAGCTCAGAAATGCTATTGTTAAGGCTAGCTGATAACAGATGCATTGTCTTTTAACCCTTCTTGAATGTATCTATTCAATGTACATGTTTAGTATTTATAGCAATTTAAATGCAAACTTTGTTCTTGCAAATTGATTAATAATTCTTTAATATGAATAAGTCTTATACATCTCACGTATATGGAGGAGGTATGATTTTCAATTTTATTGTCTGATAAATTCTTTGCCACTGATGTCCTTAAGGTACATTTTCAGAATGAACACTTGAGCAATAATCACAAGGCTGGACTCACAGGCACTGGCCTCAGTGTAATTTTTGTTAATATTTGTCAATTCTGTAGCATTTATATGTGTATAGTTTGTCTGCATGCACTTTGTCTGATGTTTTGTGCATATCGCTTATTGACACTGGTTTTCTACCCCAGTTGTTCTTCGACAGTACTTGGAGGCATCATTTATGTGTTTTTCCAAGTTCCTATCAAACACATCATGTGTACTGTTAAATGCATGAACTCTCAGGAGGCTGGAGGACCACAACATAGCACAAATATTAGCTCTGTCAGGATTTTATTCCTGAGGAAGTAGCCTGCAAACAGAAACAAATCAGCTCCATACAATTTTAAGCAGCTTTTAAATGTAATTCAGAAACTTCAGCAAGGATTAGGAAAGTCTCCCTACAAGGTATTAAGGTAGTGCTAAGGCTTAAATCTCAATCTTTCATCAGTCTCAGCTTGCTTTTTTTTCCATCTTTTGCCAGAACAGATGGCAATTCCAAAAAAGAAATCCCAAATAAGCTGGTTAGCACAGAGTAATTATGATTTATAAGCTGGAGATGGCGCTCTCTGCCCACAGATTTCTGCTTCAACCTCATTTGCTGCTACCCGGTGCCAGACTGAAATTGTGCCTCCATTTCTTTAAGAAATAGAGCTGAGAGCAAGGGGTTGCTTTGCATACCTGGTGCAGTACTGTGAAAATCATCTCCCCAAACGCCAGGTGGCTGGAAGCAGACCCAGCTACTACTCCTAAGGTGGACTGTAATCAGTTTGTGGTTTATATGATAACACATCAGGTTTTGAAAACCCTTATGTGTTCTGCCAGCATGGGCACAGTAAACCTTGTATTTGCAAAATATCTTCAGGAGAAATAATTAATTGATGGGATTCATTCGTTACCATCTGGCAGGAAAAGGAAAAAAAAAAAAGAAAATGTTGTGTAGTTCAGTGGACAGGGCAAAATGGTTGTGTATCACAGACTCATCAGGAAGGAATAACAGCCTTGATGCCCTCCCTAATAGCAAAAAGATTGATGAGCACCTGCCAGACACTATAAATGGTCATTTTAGTTCTCCAGACTATAGTATCTTCCTTTGTCTGAGGCAATCTTGGCAACTATATAGAGTTAGCTCCACTCTCCCCTGTGTGGACTGTCAAAGCTGGTGAGAGGCACCTGAGAGAGGCACCATGCACTGATATCTGTGCCAAGGGCTGGACATCTGCTGAGACTTACTTCATAGAATTATGGAATGGTTTGGGTTGGAAAAGACCTTAAAGGTCATCTAGTTCCACACCACTGCAATGGGTGGGGACACCTTCCATTAGACCAGTTTGCTCAAAGCCCCATCCAACCCAGCCTGGAAGACTTTCATGTATGGGACATCCACAGCTTCTCTGGGCAATGTTTTCCAGTGTCTCACCGCACTCACAGGAAAGCATTTTTTCCTAATATTCCATCTAAACTTAGTCTCTTTCGGTTCAAAGCTATTCCATCTTGTCTTGTCACTACATGCCCTTGTAAAACATCCCTCTCCATATCAGAAGGCTGAGGAGAACTTACACTTATGGTAGCATTTCAGTAGTCAGCAATAACTGAGGGTTATTAAGTCCAGAGGGTCCCTGTTCAGTGTAGCTAACCATCACTACCAGAAAGAAAAATTAATGTTCCTGCTGTTGTTGCATAACATCTTGAGCTTTCAGTGATTAACAAAAGATTTTCTATCAGAACCCTTAGGATTAGCCTATCCAAACCTTCAAAATGAAGAAAAAGTTGTTTTACCTTATATGTTTAACAGATCTGCAAAGCCAAGAGTAGAACTTTAGAATAGTACATTTGGGAAAAAAAAAAAAAAAGTCAGTTTAAGAGCTAATCAATCTTACATGAGCAGAACATTTCTAATGTAAAAAGGCAGCTGAATTAGAGGATTAGGTCACACTGCCTGATTAACATCATTTGATCTTTTGCTATTGAAAAGTCACTGGTCTTCTCAGAGAATGGAAGCATTCAAACTTTAAATGACACCACAAGCCTGGCTTAGAAAAAAACCTGTTAAACTGAAAACAACTTGCCTTGCTTCAGTAATTGTTGGTTTGTCTCTGCTGGGGGGGTGGTGCGCATCCAAATCAGGATTTAGAAATCCCTCACATTTTGCTATAACAAAGAAGGACTGCAAAACTGAATGAGGGCATCTTGGGCACCATGTGGGAGAGGTCTACAGCATGTGAATCTTGCCTTGCTTTGCCATATCATATTTTTTTTCTTGTTTAAAGGCAGAAGACAGACACTCAAATATCTGTTTGACGTCTGTTTTCTTTATTACATGTTCCCAGTTGGTTTTGCCTTTTTAATTTTGCAGGGATAGGAGGTAACAAAAAAAAAAAAACAAAGCTGCTGAAGTTTGGACCACAGAACCTACTCAGAATCTGAGAGGTACCTGCTGATGACATTTGATAAGAGAGCAAGAGAGGGAGTTCTAGTTACAGTTTTTATTGTTTTTAAAACTGAATTTGTTTTGACTAAGGAACATGTTTAAACAAAG